TGCCTCCGGTGACGTGCTCGGTGTTATGCTCACCCCAAGGTCTTTCTCCCTGATTGAGGTCTGTAGTCTTTGTCCACCTAGCCTATACTCTGTCTGCGGTCTTCTTTGCCCCTCCCCAATCTTCATGACTTAGCATTTGGCAGGGTTGAATTCGAGAAGCCAGTTTCTGGACCACATGTCCAGCCTGTCCAGGTCTCTTTGCAGTCCTGCCTCATCCTCATCCGATTTAATTCTTCTCATCAGCTTCACATCATCTGCGAATAGGGACACTTCAGAGTCTATTCCTTCCATCATGTTGTTCGCATATATCAAAAATAGCACTGGTCCTAGAACTGACCCCTGTGGGACCCCGCTCGTCACAGGCGCCTACTGTGATACCTCTTTTCACGTACCATGACTCGTTGTTGGCTCCCTGTCAGGTATTCCCTGATCCATTGCAGTGCCCTCCCTATTATATGCGCCTGATCCTCCAGCTTCTGCACTAATCTCTTGTGGGGAACTGTGTCAAAGGCCTTCTTGCAGTCTAGGAAAATGCAATCAACCCACCCCTCTCGTGTCTTACTTCTGTTACCTTGTCATAAAACTCCAGAAGGTTTGTGACACAGGATTTGCCTTCCATGAACCCATGCTGGTTTTCATTTATAATCTTGTTCCGTTCCAGGTGTTCCACCACTCTCCTCCTGATAATCTTCTCCGTGACTTTGCACACAATACATGTCAGAGACATAGGTCTGTAGTTTAGTGCCTCATTTCTGTTTCCTTTCTTAAATATGGGGACTACATTTGCTGTCTTCCATTTCTCAGGTAGTTGCCCAGTTTCAAGGGATGTGTTGAAGATTGTGGTTAGAGGCACGCACAGCATCTCTGCTCCTTTTCTAAGGACCCACAGGGAGATGTCCGGTCCCATCGCCTTTGAAGTATCAAGGTCACTTAGCAGCTTCTGCACCTCCTCCTCGGTTGTTCGTATGTCATCCAACACTTGTTGGTATATTCCCTCTTGATGTTCCCTTCTGTGCTGTCTTCCCAGAGCCCTTCCTGTCTCTACTGTAAAAACTTCCTTATATCTCCTGTTTAGCTCCTCACATACCTCCTGATCATTTCTTGTGAGTTCTCCACCTTCTGTCCTCAGTCTGATCACCTGGTCTTTGACTGTTGTCTTCCTCCTGATGTGGCTATACAACAGTTTCGGGTCAGTCTTGATTTTCGATGCTATGTTATTTTCATACTGTCGCTTGGCCTCCCTCCTTACCTGTGCATACTCGTTCCTGGCTCTGCGACTAATCTCCCTATTTTTATGCGTTCTCTGCCTTCTGTACTTTTTCCATTCTCTATTGCATTTTGTTTTTGCCTCCTTACACCGTCGGGTAAACCAGGGGCTCGTTCTGGTCTTCCCATTGTTTCTGTTGCTCTTGGGAATAAATCTTTCCACTGCCTCCTTGCATTATGTGGGAATAAATCTTTCCACTGCCTCCTTGCATTTTGTTGTTACATATTCCATCATTTCATTTACTGGCTTTCCTGTCAGTTCTCTGTCCCACAGAACCTCCTGCAGGAAGTTCCTCAACCCTATGTAGTCCCCTCTTTTATAGTCTGGCTTTTCCCATGTGTTTATACACACACACACACACACACACACACACACTATATATATATATATATATGTGTATGTATATATATATATATATATATATATATATATATATATATATATATATATATATATATATATATATATATATATATATATAATATATATATATATGCAAGGAATTCGCAAGAGCAGGCGAAATATACACAAACACTGATCTCTGGCTGAAGGAGACTCGAACCTGCGAACAAGGTACGCAGTGCTTTCCCAATCTACCCACACTGGACCAATACCTTGGAGTCCAGCTTGCGCTAGACTTTGATCCAAGGCAGCCAGCTTTCAGGGAGAAGGCTTACAGCTTTTCATCTCATCCCCTGCATGCATCAGCCTTACTAGAGATATTAACAATGCAAGGAATTCGCAAGAGCAGGCGAAATATACACAAACACTGATCTCTGGCTGAAGGAGACACGAACCTTGGAACAAGGTACGCAGTGCTTTACCAATCTACCCATTAAGGGCCTATTTTCCTTATTAAAAATGGGTAGGTCGTGCTAAAGGAGAGTTAATGATTACAGTAAAGCCTCCTTAATTACATATATGTAACCGAAAATAATTAATGGAATTTCGAAGCAGACCTAAATAACATCACCTTGGGTACGCTGTCTTTCGCCCGTGATGGATACAGCTTGACTTTGATCAATTTCTTGTGTGTATGCCAGGTTATGGCATGTGTCAGCAATGAGTGCTAAGTCCGTTTCACAGGTCATGGGGTACAGCTCAGGTATAGTTGGGGACGTGGCTGTGAAAGGATTGGCGCTGAGTCAAGCCGTAATTTGCTAGAAAAGAGAAGAGAGGACTTTGTTTTTACAAAACTTTTACGGGAGTCGTGTTAAGAATTCCTGAATTTCC